TTCATTGCTAGTTGTGTGCATCATTATTGATCACTGCATGCTGCTCAAAATTACACTTAGGGCCAAATTAGATGTGGAGACAGGAGATCAATGAATGGATCTTCTGCTGTCCTTTAAACTTTACATGGCAGATCTCGCAGAGCTCTGATTCAGACCACTGTTAAATAGTGGGTTTAACATGGCAGAGGCGTCTGAATAAATGTTTATGATTAGGGTTTTACAACTGCTGCTGAATAGATAGTAGTAGGCATCTAGTGTACTATATAATTGGAACATCAGTGTCACCCTTTTGGAGACCACAGGAGGTGGTGGTGGCTACAAGCATGGACGGCTTCAAGAGGGAATGGGATAAACATATGGAGCAGAGGTCCATCAGTGGCTTTTAGCCACAAGGTATAGATAGGAACTCTCAGTCTGGGGCAAGTGATGCTCTGTATTCTTGGTGCTTGGAGGGGGGCAACAGTGGGAGGGCTTTTAGTGTCCTGGCCTCACTGGTGGACCTGATGGCACCTGGTATTTTTGGCCACTGTGTGACAGAGTGTCGGACTGGATGGACCATTGGCCTGATCCAACATTGGCTTCTCTTATGTTCTTATCTTGTTCCTTTCCCCATAAACTTAGAATGTCAATTGAGCCTATTGCAAGAGAATCAAAAGTGCAATTTATTAATTGTTTTGTAACACCCAGGGCTCTAAAGATATGTGTTGCATTGTGCAACATAGTAATTAGTGAACAAAATTTGGCATGCAGAATAGAAAACGCAACATGGCATAGGTGTGAACCACCCACAACTTGTTTACTCCAGTGAGATGTTAGAATCAACGTTTTCCTGGTACTCTTTCAAGACTAATTTTATTAAGCAGTGACATTTTTTTTTTAAAAAAAGCAACCTTTAAATGAAACTAGGTAGCTTAAACATGAAAATTAATCTTATAAACTCCCAAACATATTTTGGGGCTGGTTTGCCTCCTGCAACAGGATTTTCCTGCTTTGCTACCCAGATGAAGGAGTAGTTGGGGTGTTTTCTGCTGTTTATCTTTAAACTTGAATTTTTGAACAGTGGGTTAGGCCCTACAAGCTTTCCCATTTATCTTACTCAATTTCCCACCTCACTGCAGACTTCAACTAGTGTGCCTTTTTTTTTTAATGTGGGTGCTAAGATTTCTGGCAAAGCTGTTTTGGTGGTCAGAAAGGGCACCTCCTCCTTCTTTTGCTAGCAAAGCTGGAAATATTCAACCCAGCATGTTTTTTGGACTCCTCCTCCTCTTCCTCCTCTTGGTCACTTTTGGAAATGAAAATCAGTTGACTTACAAGAAACCTGCTTCTGGAGATGTTTATGAATTGACAAAAATGATACCTGCTACTGGGGAAATTTTTCCATCTGTGTAAATCCCATTGCAGTGAACTGGAATTTCATAAGAGTATGGTGTTCTAGTTTTGCATTATTATACATCTGTATCTCATGGCTTTCAATTAGACTTGTCTAGACACAATTATATGCATGGTTGCATCTTTTATTTGAGTTTATAGCGTGCCTTGAGGCCAATTCATGCATTACCCATAGTAGGATGGATGTTGGCTGAGAATCCAAATGGCATGAGTACAACTCCACACGGTTACCTGCATGTGTGAAACCTCGTTCAGGTAGTTAAGACTGATTCGAATCATCATCAGTGCTGGGTTTTGTGTCCAAATGTTAAGGCTAGGTTGTTGCCTGTCCTCTTGCCTCATCTTTATAAGCTAACATTGCTGCTCTCTGCACTGAAATGCCATATTTTTTTCTAATACATCACAAGGGGTAAAGCTTTTGAAGAATGCAAAATTCTCATTTGTTTCACATAAAGACCAATGTGATTTTGTATATGGAATAAAGCTGCTCTTTAACTTCAGAATACATTAGACTGATAAACTGCCCAGCCACATTTTGATAAGCTGGGAGAACCAGTATTTTCAGGCTACCTTCAGTGACAGTGTATAAGTGCAGAGTCAGGCTTAGTTTTAGATTATCCAGCAATGATGACTTCACTATTTTTTCCCTCTCTTATTTGTGAAATGATGTTCCAGAATAATCAGGAAATTATGAGTTTAAATAGCACAGCTTTCTTTCTGGGCAGAAATATAAAGCATTCCACAACCATCTGAGTTTGTTGTTAGAATAGGCAACGAATATTAGCAATGTCAAATGCATTTTCCTTAACTGTTTTGAGTACAACTTTTCCTAGGTGTACTTGTCACATGATTTTAAAGCAGCGAATCGGTCATGGTAGTACTGGTGCATGCAGACAGTTTAGGAGGAATACATTTGAAATCTCTTGTGAACATGTTTGAGTAGTAATTCAATTTAAACAGAATCCAGGACAGAACTGGTTATATATTTAAGCAGCTAGAGGTTTGCAGTCAAAGACTGAGCATAAAAATATGTGAAACCCTTTCCTGTTTCTCAAGTCAGACCCCATGCTTCCACAACTAAATTCTGTTACTAGCCCTGTGTAGGGGTTTCCCTTCTTGAACACTTCTTTCTTGCACTCCCTGTTATTGTTCTTTTGTATTTGATATCCTAGGGTTGGCCAGTTGGCTTGTCAAGAAAGACTATAAGTTGACTAGTCAAAGATTGTCAAGAATTTTAAAGCAATAACTTTATTGCAACCTGGTGATAATTAAAGTATCTTTTTAAAAACTTATGGCAATTATAGATACAGATTGGTTAGCTAAAAGCAACAGGCCCCTCATGGTATCTTAAAGACTTTTCGTTCTAGCATAAGCTTTTGTGTACTGGAGCCCACTTTTGCAGGTACAGTGAATGAAATGCCATACTGTCTGCATGATGATAAAAAAGAAAATTAACTTTAAAAATAGTAAATAACTACTAGAACTTTTAACAGGCTTATGTATTGTTGTTTAGAAAACACTCTGTAAATGTGAAATTATTTGCCAAATAGTTCTTCTCTCACTTTTTAAAATGGAACCCCAAGATCAGTCTGTAGCTTCAACGTTTTCTAGGAAAGAAATTAAGACAAAAATAAAGCAAAGTAACAGCAACTATTAAAAGAAGGCAGCTGTCCAGCTAGTACTGTTTAGAAATGCCTGCAATTTATAGCATCCACCTTTGCCTGCTGCAGATCTAGAGGACAAGAACCCTGTACTCCTGCCCATGGTAAAAAAAATGGGAGCCATAACGAAATGACATAACCTGTTGCCTGCACATTGGTTTCAAGGAACAGTTGACTGAGCTCAAATGATCTTGACTGTCATTGACCAGCATCCCAGCCCCATTCTGTCACTTCCTGAGCTCCTTAAAGCAGGTCTCTGGAGAGGCAACACATACATTTTTCTACACAAGTAAGAACTTCTCTGCATGTTCTAAAGAAGTCCAGTTTTCAGGAGCAAGTTGCCTGTGAATATAGATGTTTCATTGAGCTGTTATGGCTTAAAGACTCTCAAGAGTCATATCCTTCTAAGGTGTCCAGGTGCCAGTTTTCCAGATTCCTGGTTCAAGGGCTGTAGGGCACTCTCCCATATCAGTTACCAGTACAAGAGGAGGGCGGCAGTTGGTTGTCAGCCACCATTGAAGAGGGATAGAGTACTCTTGATGCTTGCTTTCGCATCTGTTCAGTTGCCTGCTGTTGAAAGTAGCTATTGACCAGAGACTTAGGCCACCCGTGCAAGTGTCGGTAACTGCATCATGTAAGAATGAATTCTGTCTGTGCAACAGATCTTACCATTAACTATTTTAGAAACATTGTCCAAGTTTTTGAATGCAGCCATTAGGAGATCTTTCTTTCATTACAAAGGCACATGTATCTCTCACCAAGAGTACAGCTGCTCAAAACCCAAGAGGGTGGAGTCAGCACGTGAAATTTAAAAATGTTAAACTGTTCTAAAGTGACCTTAACTGTGTGATATTCGTGTGTATGTGCAAGCTATTTCTGTCCTCCTTAATGGCATTTGAAAGCTACAAATATGCATCTATTGAATCTGTCTCCCATTGAAACAGAAATAGCAAATTCCCTAGACCATCGCTAGACATAGCAGATGCTTATTCACCCTCTTGGTAATAACTTTTAGAGATTCCACAACTTCTTGAGTGGTTTCAGTATTGCCTCCTGTATTAACTTGCCAAGATGGGTGTTGAGTAAACCAACATAATCACTGAAAAAGTTCACACTGTTAATTTGGTAATAACCGGATTAAAAAAAATTACTAGCAGTGAACTTTACTGTTTGATCAAAAACATGAAATATGAATCATGTACTACAGTGCATCACATTACTGGAATCTGGAAACCTATCAGTGTAACTTGAGTAGATTTATTGTAAAAGATTAACTTTGTCATCTACATTTTGAGTCACTTATTCTTTTGAAATCTGTGTCTGTAGGTAACTATTACAGGAATAGTTTAAAAAGATATCTCTGCATTTGCTGTGTTCTTTAAATCCAATCTAATGCTGGCAAAAGAGGCCATTAGTAACCGGAGTGGAGTGCCATGGGAATAGGGGCTGAAGCCAGACACTCTTGTTCAGCAAGGAGATATGGCAGAGAATAGAATTACTTATTCAAATACCAATCTTAATGAAACTATAGTCATTATTCCCTTGCTTTATGTATTTGACCTGGGAAGTCAATATATTCTAAGGCTAAAGTTCAAACATCATCTTCCTATCAACACTGTGGGAATTCTAAATCTTTGTGTGTTGTGCCAGTATAGTCAAATATACATGCTGTGGTTGCTACATAAAATTTTCTAAATCATACCAGGTGGTAGTTGTTCCTACATGGTGAGCCAACTGCAGAGCATCTGGATCTACACCTTCTATCCCTAGTCTCCAAAGATAAGTGTTTGTGGTGGAGCTATTGCAGACAGCTCTAACAAATGCTGGACATTTTTGGAGTGCTGATATTGCAGATTGTTCTCTTTACATTTTTCTGATCTTTTTGTGCTGTATTTGAAATGTTAAGACATACTATACAACTTTTTAAATGCATTTCTTTTTTTAAAACAGATGACAGCATCTCTGCAGCAAGTACATCTGATGTCCAGGACCGCCTTTCTGCTCTTGAACTGAGAGTTCAACAACAAGAAGATGAAATCACAGTTCTGAAAGCAGCCCTGGCTGATGTATTGAGACGTCTAGCCATTTCTGAAGATAATGTTGCATCTGTGAGGAAATCTGCACCAAGTAAAGGTAGGAGGCTTCTAGTGCAGATCACTTCCGGAACATTCGGCCATCAGTTTATGCAGGGCAAGAGTGAGGTTGGGCAGGGTAGTGCCCCATGAATTGAATGTACAAGCTACAATGTGGCCCATAATCCTTTGCGACAGATATGGATTCTATGGGGCTAGGTAAGAGTTTCTTCACAGAAGAGACTGTGTGGAAGAGTGTCTCTCAGAGCACAAGAAGCTTGAAAATTGTTAATTTAATTCCTTTAAGGGCTGTTTTACACATTACTATGAGAGATGCTGCTTTAAATGGTAATGCCACCTTACAATATAAAGCACCACTTAAACAACAGTCTTGGTCATCGTGTAAAAAGTGTCTCCTCCCTCTTCCTTAAGTTCACTCATGGGTAATTAGCAGAGGCAGGGAAATTGCCTATATGTGATGGCTCCAGTTGCTGTGGCAAATGGTGTGATGTCCTCTGCTTCTCTGCTATGTAGCATTGAGGGGAGTAACTGGTTAAATGTGGGGCTGGATATAATCAGCAATGGCATGTGTAGAGTAACTTACAGAAGAGCTCAGATCTTCTTGAGCTTTCTCCATTGTCTTCCCCCTTCCTCTCTTTTATTCTTTAACTTGTAGTGTTTCATTTCCAGCTAAAAAATGTTTTGACTTTTATCACAATATCTCAATATTCATGGATGGCTCAAGTAATTAAAGTGATTAGGCCCTTCACTAGGACATTTTCTTCCATTGGTCTCAAGGGCCTGGTGATGGATAGGAGAATGTGATTAAATTTAAAAACAAGCCAGAACCTGATGCGGACAGTGGTGAATGGTCACTGTGGGTCATATTAGGGACTGTTATCAGGCTGCTACAGTCCAGTTGCGTGCCTATGTCTCACTTGCCTGTCATCCAGCAGCCATCTGTTTGAATGCAGATTTCACAAAACCTTGGATCTGTCTGGTGTACTCTTTTTGTTTGTTGGGGGTATGTGTATTCCTTCACTTGCATTATGAGTGGAATTTGTGAAAATAATTTCCCATTTCTCAAAAGCAAAAACATGAGTTTAAGTCTAGTTACTCATGTTGTCTGATTTTTTGGAAATGTTGAAAAATCCGAGTGTTAAAATGAACCTGTGTTTACATCATTCAGATGTAATGTTAAACCATGCTTTGTGGCTATGTGAAGGAGTCATGTGTACAATGAGATTGCTGCTTTTTAATAGAAGAACATAGTTTTCATTGTACTGAAACCACAAGCTGTGATTCACGATCTTCTTCACAGACCAGGATTCCAGTTTGCTTTGTAGGAAAGAATACAAACATAATTTGTGGTTTGCAAATAATTACAAACTATAATTTGGTTCCAAACTAGAAGTGCTTAATTAGCTGAGGAGGAGGGAGCATACTAGCTCAATCCCCACCACCACCACCACCATCAGATAGCTACAAACCAGGGGTTGTCAGCACATTGGAACCGTGCCACTGTGTTGTTTAGAGGATCCAGTCTTTTCAAACCTGTAGGCACCGGTAGAATTCTAACATAGAGAGGTGTGCACAGTCACAAAATGGTTGCTACAGGAGGCAGAGTCAACCACAGAATGGCAGAGAATGAGGTTATACATAACTCTAGTAGTAACTCTTCAGAATTTCAGCAAAGGCTTTATTTATTTAGAACATTTATATGCTCTAAATAAAGATGTTTTTTGTTTTTTTAAAGGCATCTATCATTTAAAAAAACAAGCAATTAAAAGTCATCCTGTTTGACCGGAGGATTTTTTAAAATGAGCATATTGTTTAAAAATATTTCTTACAAACAGCTTGCCTTCAGTAAGGCAGTGAAGATCCCTGTGCTGTGGTGGCAGCTGCTGAAGAAGCATCTTGGGGGGAAACTGCACAGCCAATCAGTGTGCTCCCTCTAAGCTCTGGAGTCCTGTGAGCAAAAACTCCTACTTTGTGAGCTACCGGCATTAAAGTTGTGAGCGAGCAATTTAGCTGCTGCATAAATTAGTTTGCTCTGGGGCCCTCCTTCCTGAGCTAAGACAAAAATGTGTGAGCTGGAGGCTAAGAAACTGTGAGCGAGCTCACACTAACTCGGCTTAGAGGGAATACTGCAGCCAGTGAGATCTCCAGTGGCCAATCGGAAGCCCTGCTGGGCTAAAGCCCCCCGGCCATGTCCACTTTCTAAGAACAATCTGTGGACACCAGGAAAATTGTTGGCAGGTGCCAGGGTGCTCAAGGGCGCCATGTTGGGGTCCCCTGATGTAGCTGTTTATTTGCAGTAGGGTGATATAACCATTAGTCATACCTGATGCACTAGTTTTGGAACAATCTGGGCCTATGTTTATTCCTATTATACAAAAATGAGGTCTGAGATTAATGTTCTCAGTTTTTCTTGTGTTTGTGTAAATACACATTTTAATGAGAGTGGATGGTTCAAAAAAAGAATCACTGGGAAAACTAACCCTTTGGGGGCGACCAGTTTTGTGATAGTTCTTTTCAGTATCCTTTTTTTCTGCAGTCCAGAGCTGTGAGTTTCCTGAGCCATGCCTCTAGGCTGCCAGTAAATTAAAAGGCATGACTGTATAGGGAGCTACTTGAATGGCCTTTGGGTGGGATTCCGTGCCCATGACATGCACAGTTTTTAACACAGAGACATACCTTCAGCATCAATAAAATAAAGCCTCTCGAGTGAGTATTCAAGTCACTCCCTAGAATACTGTTACAATGCCTATGTTTGTGGTTTGGTATGTAAAGCTATGTGATTCTAAATTGGTATGCCCATCTGTGGCCTTTCTAGGAAACAGTCAGACTAGCGCTCTGGAAGATCTGGGTTGGAATCCCCACTCTGCTCGGTGACCTGGGGTCAGTCACTGTCAGCCTCATAGGGCAGTGGTTATGAGGATAAAATGGAGGTGAGGAAAACAATGTTGTGAATTCCTTTCAGTTCCTATTCAGAAGAAAAGCAGGATATAAATATCTAAAATAAATAAATAAGAATTCCCAGAGAGAGCTGTAGAAAATATAACTAACATTTTTAGAGGGCCTGTGAAAAGTCATCAGAAAAGGAAACAAAAATTAAATCTGAGAACAGGAAATTGGAAATGTGAGTGATCTCAGTTCAGGCCACCATTAATTTTATAAAATCTGAAATCTTCGGGAATTTTGCAGTAGCTTTTATGCTCAGAACGGCACAGAAATCTGTCTCTTCTGATTAAAAGAAGGGTTATTGTTTTGTGTCATGAAACGAAATGCTTCTTTATTTTAAGGGATGAATTACCAGATGTCACCTTACTTTTATTAATTCAGCTTTCCGTTCCAGGACACCTGGATGTTAACTTTATATTTGTTTATCCTTCCCTGTCCTTAAAATGCTATAGTGCATTTAAACTCAGACCTGAAACTAAATACATGACTCCAGCCAATTTTTATATATGTAGTAAAGGCTTATCACCTAGTCATCTCCCCTCCCAGGTTGAGGAGAAGGAGACAGACATTGGCAGACTTGAGACCTGTTTCCATGCCACGTCCAGTATCCATGCAGTTTTTTTCATGAATAACCAGTTTGATTCCTCCAACTTGTGGCACTCTTCCTTTGTGCATTTTAGTGAAATTAAATTACTCTCCTTGCTGCATCTGTATGTTAGCTTAACCTAGTTAAGTGTGAGGGCTAGCAGTGGCAGCAGGAGAGGAAATAGCACTTGCTAGAGTTCCAGTAAAGAGAGCTTTTCAGGAAGATGAGCAAAAAGAGAATTCTCTAGGCAAGTTGTGAGAAGAGGGTGGCTTCAAACTCAGTTTAGTTTGTCTGTTTAAAGAGCCTACAGATAATTAAGAGGCTAAGGCTTTGACATGGTGAGAATCAACAGTACACAGGGAAGTAGAGGAAGATGTCATTCATCAAGTCTGTGGGTGTAATGAAATGTCTTACATGGGTTTTAAGGCTTGCTTCTCCTTTGACCTACTTCCCAGATCATGTTCTTGGTAGTGAAGGTATTGCCAAGAACTTGAGAATGCCCTATTACAGAGAATGTTCTCTTGCACTTTGCTGCTTTGTGAAATAGACTGTGGGTTTTATCTTAGGAACTATGGGGGCTCATAGGTACACATACGCACACACTTTCTGAAAAGCTGGGGGGCTCATAGGTACACATACGCACACACTTTCTGAAAAGTTGATGCTTTTGGAGTCGCAGGAGCCTCAGGAACAAAATGCAAGAGAAGGTATGAGGAAAACAGGGAAATTGGGGTGTGGAGGCAGGCAATGATAAACCACCTCTGAACATCTCTTGTCTTGAAAACACCATGGGGTTGCCATAAGTCACACACACACACACACACACACACACACACACACCATTGGTTTCCACTGATGGAAGAGAGGGGAACATTGCCCTGTTTCCTCCTCCTCACAGTTTAACCCGTGGTGTTTTGTCCAGGACTGCTGTTAGCTCTTGAGCATAAGCTTTTTGGACCCCTTGGGAAGCTGCCAGGGTAATGGGGAGGTGAGACAGATCTATGACCACCACTATAGTTTTGTTAAAAATGTCTCTAGTATCTTACCATTGATTTGCCAGGCATCCTGGTAACTACACTTTACACCAGAGACCTCAGTTGACAGAACAGGCAAGGCATTGGGAATGAAGGGCGAAGAGAAGGAGGGACACCTTTACTGGTGGCTCACTGGCCAGCCTGCCACCACTGCTGTAGTAGAGCAAGAACAGGTGGGACTGGTCCTCAGCTCCTTCTGCATGCTCATAATCAGGTTCAGAGCAACTCAAGGTATGTTGCAATAAGTGAGCTAATCTGTGGTCACTGTTCATTAGAAGTAATGTTCTAGCCATTGGTCAAGTTGGTATAATTTGAAAGCACCATCAGTGAAATTGCCTAAGTCTGTAGGGCTGGTTACTTGAGACAAGTTTTTCTTTCCAAATGAAATATTAATATTTCCATCACTGGTGTATAATTTTGTAACTGTTAATTGGCATTGGTATTAAAATGGCTGCTATCTTGGCACAATCCATAGCT